TTAATATTTTATATATTTTTATAATAAAAAACAAGAAAAACATAAGAGAAAGTGACAAAACTGTAAACCGGCAGGGCCTACTCGAAGGCCAAGGCCCATGTAACGAACGTACGTGCCATGATCAAATCGAATCAATGTTGATAAATCCCTAGCTCTACTGTGCGACACCGTTTTTGGCAGTGACCTCCTCGCCGGCTCCCCTTTTTCCCCTTTTTCCCCCTTTTCCCCAGCGAGAAAGAGCGAAGCGTAAAGATATAAAACGCTGCGTTGAACCCATCGTCTGTTTTCTTCCCCTTCTCCACTCCTTTATCTCTGTCTTCCCCGCCTCTAAACCCCCGTACAGAATTCGCAGAGCTCCCCTGACAATCTAAATTCCTCTTCTCCGGTCGGCGGACCCCTCGATAATTCCGGCTCAATTCCTCGATTTTTTCTTTATTTTTCTTTTATTATTGCGCAACCCTTTGCCATCCTCATTTTCACTTCGATTCCGCAAACTCTCAATGCACACCGAACCTCCAAAACCTGTTGTTTCTTCAAGGTATTGAGAAGTTGAGGCTATATTTTAATTTGTTTGTTCCATCTAATTCCGATTTTAGTTTCAAATTTCTAGTTTATGCTTCTTTTTTGAGGAGCTTATGGTGTATGTATTGATTGGGTGACGAATTGGGGTTTTAAGATCCTTTTTAGTGTAATTTGTTGTTTCTTGTGATCGTAGAGGGTAAGGAGGGATTTAATTTAGAGTTTTTCTGTTATTATTGGTGTTGCAGGTATTTGCATTGTGGATTCTTTTCAAATGAGTAGGAGAGGGCCGACAGGTTGTCAGGTTTGCGGGGACTATCCGTCTGGTTGATATCCGTGATATTCTGAAGGTTTTTGTTTGTTCTCCTTTAAGTTTGTGCCTTTGTTGATTTCTGGTGTTCTCTATGTCGGTTTCATTGTTTCTGTTTAGGAAGTTAATTGCTTGTACAGTTGTACGTGGATGCTCAATTGCTTCAATTTGGGTAATGTTGAGTATATGTATGTGATTAGGAGATCTTAATTTCTTTTATTTGTTTAAAGTCCAGAGTAGGGCCCAAAGTATGTAAAAGTTAAAAAAAAGTGGGTTATGCTTGTCAAGTTGAGCTCAGTCATTGGATATAATAATTGGCTGGTAGTGATAGAGCAAAGGGGGGTTAGCTTTGGTAGTTTATGCAGGGGTGACACCATATAGAACGAACTGTGAGGAAGGAGATATTAAGAAGCCTTTAGGTTTGAATGGTAGTATATGGGCCAGCAGTTGCTCTGAATATAGCATTATTGGTACATACCAGTAATGTGGATATTTTGGTATCATAATAACATAGCCACTTAGGCACTTTAAGCTATCTGTCTTGGCTATAAGAGATTCTTTAATAGCTATTTACTCTGAACTTTGCACATGAATTTCTGTTGATCAATCACCCATGGGGCAGTGGCCCCAAAAAGATAAATCACCCTTGGGATTTTTGCATACTTTTCTAGGTGCCTCTTCAGGAATCCTTTTAGTAGGCAGTTTTTATCCAAGCCACAAGAGTTAGGGCATCTTCATTTTTTTCTTTGGTTGGCCAAACTTCATTGATTCTTTAAGATTCATAATTTTTTGGCCAGTTTAATATCCATATTTACTGGTACAAGTCTATGACAATATCTACAAATTATCTGTTTCTTAGTATTTTAATGATTCTGTTGGCTATATTGCTGTAGAATTTGCTTGTACAATGTTAGGTGTAGGTTTTGGTCTTGAATCTTAGCTAATGGGGGTAAAATATGTAGCTCAGGACACATATTATGTTTAATCAGGACAAAAACAGGGTTTGAGTATTTATTATTCTTCCAAGTCATGAGAGGTACAAACAGGATCTATCCTGTGTTAGTGTGTGTTGGAAAGATTTTGTGAAACTTCCTTCAGTTTTTTTTTTTTTAAATGAAGGTGAGCAAACTTGCTTTCTAATTTGATAATCATTAAATGCAACAGAATACTTTTTTAATGCACTTTATTTAATTCAAGATCATTGCAGTTGGAGGCCTTAACAAATATGTTGGCAATTTATGTCAACTGATCTGGTTTTGTATGTTACTTAATGGGAATTAGAAATACTTCAGATGTCTTCGAAGTTCTATATTGTATTTCAAGTGTAATATTGCTGACAATGTTTGTGTTTAACTTGCAGGAAACATGGCTCTCCAGAAATACATTCCTTCCAGTAATTTACCTTCTGCTAGAATGAAACCTTTAAGTTTTACAATTAAGGTGCGTGAAAATGCTAAACTTGCAGATCCAGGGATGAGACGGTCTGTGGAGGCTGATGTGGATGTTGACCTCAGAGAAGTTTATTTTTTGATTATGCATTTTCTATCAACTAGTCCATGTCAAAGAACATGTGGACAGTTATTGGATGAACTTCTTGAACATCAACTTCTACCTAGAAGATATCATGCTTGTTATTCAAGGAACAGAGCCTGTAGTGGGGATGAAAATGATGATGGCACGTCTTTCCCTTTGAATTATGCTCAGTTGGTTGAAAGGTGAACAATCTGCTTCTTGTTTTCCTATTTGTTATGCTCAAGTTGTAAGGTTAAGGTTGATGCATACATTGAAAAGCAATGACTGCAGAAATAGGTTATGGTCTTGCACATGTGTCCTTCTGTTTCACCATTCATTAAGTGACTTATCTTATAGCTGTGTAGCTAGTAACATTTAGTTAGTTTCATGAAGGATCCTTTTTCTTTTAATAAAAAATACTTATGTTTGTATCAAAAATGCTTATTTAGGTATCCTCACATTGAAAAGGATCACTTGGTAAAGCTTCTGAAGCAACTGATGTTGAGTTCAACCTCTCCATCACGAGACATAAATGGCAGAGGTGCTCCAAATGCAGCAGATGTTCCTACACTGCTTGGGACGGGTTCATTTTCACTTTTGAGCTGTAGGTGGCCTCTTTTGCACTTCTGCATATTTCGTATGCTTTCATTTTTATGCTTAGGAGCTATATCCTTTCAAATTCCTTTACTTTCTGTACAGAAGGAGAGTATCATGTCTCAAACTGGAATATGTACTTAAACCTCAAGCCTCTGACAAATTGGATTAAGTTGAAATGGCTTTACAGTTCCTTTTTGATGATACATAACTCAAATTTTGTTTAAGTCCTACTTTTTTTTCTTTTTTTTTTTGGATAATGTACCATGCTTATTTGGAAATATACCACAATTTTGCCTTCATCGGATTTTCTGTTGAAGTTAAAATTGTTTGGCTTATTTTTAGTTCTGGTTCTCTTGCCTCTTCAGATGATAGCTATAAAGGAGAAAAAGAAGTCAAACATCCTCCGGCTCACATGCGTTGGCCACATGTTCATGCTGATCAGGTTCGTGGGCTGGCTTTGAGGGAAATTGGAGGTGGTTTTGCAAGACACCACCGGGCACCATCTATTCGTGGTGCATGTTATGTCATTGCAAAACCATCAACCATGGTGCAGAAAATGCAGAATATCAAGAGACTCCGGGGACACCGTAATGCTGTTTATTGTGGTATGGTTTTTACTTGATAACTATTGATTGACTTAGAGTTTGATAACATGTTGATATCAAGCTTACACTTAATGCACACATGTAACAATTCACATCATTGGAGGGTACCAAAAGACTTATTTTTGCTATTCTTCTGACTAGAAAGCATTTTTTATTTATCTGGAGATGGACACTAAAAGGCTGAGTTCAGGAATGGCTTTTTGCCCACCTTTTTATTTTCATGATAGGCCTATTCATCAATGCATTCTAAAAGTTTGTTTTTTTGCTTTGTTACATTTGATATTTTCCATCACTGATGCCTTAAACATGGTATGAGGGCTCTACCTATTATCTTGAATTTGTAGCTGACTACTTGTTATCTTGTTGTAAATTCTGCAGCAATATTTGATCAATCAGGGAGATATGTTATTACTGGTTCTGATGACCGCCTTGTAAAAATTTGGTCTATGGAGACTGCATATTGCTTGGCCAGCTGTCGTGGACATGAAGTGAGTTTGGATGATCTATAACATATTTACCTTCTTTTTTTTTCATTTTTATTTTGCTCACTTATATTTTTGTCTCATTATATCCATGGAAGGGTGACATAACTGACTTGGCTGTGAGTTCCAATAATGTTCTGGTGGCATCCTCTTCAAATGACTGTGTCATTCGTGTTGTAAGCATCCATGGCAATCTAATAATTTCTTCTTCTTCTTCTTCTTCTTCTTCTTTTTAACATTATCCTTATGTCCTTTTTTATTTTTTTGGCAATCAATGTTATCCTTATCTTGATTTTAACTTTTTTCTGCCTTTTTTACAGTGGCGTTTGCCAGATGGCCTGCCAATATCAGTCCTACGTGGACACAATGGAGCAGTTACTGCAATTGCATTTAGTCCCAGGCCTAGCTCCATATACCAGCTTCTATCGTAAGTCTGGTTTTGATGTTCTCTGGTTTTATGTTATGTGCTGTTGTTTTAACTTCAGTATAATGTTGATTTACTCAACTTATTTTTTCTCTTTTGGTACATCTCAAAAATGCCCATGTAGCTTCCTTGGATATCTTGTTTTTTCCTATTTGGGGAATGCAAATTTTAAAGCTTCTTTGGTATTTTGAGCCCCATTATCCTCTTTATAATGCTCCCCCATAAATATCTGTGTTCTGCTCTTGGGTTTCTATTTGTTTATTGAAGGTTAAATACTGAAGTGAGGCATATGAAAGTTCAAAATCAAGGATTCTTGACTTTTCATATTTATATCCAGACTCCAGAAATTATTTTCTTTCTGCTCCCTAATTGCTTCATTTTCTTGTAGTACTTGAGTTTACTCGTTTTCTACATTTGAACAGATCATTTATTTTCTGAATTGCATTTTGTGGAGTTAAGAATATACTTATTGTTAGCTTTATGTCCTATAAAGAATAACCTTCTGCCTCTTTGGATGCCTTCTTTTGTTTTTTTAGCTTTTTCAAATTGCAATTAATTCTCGTGTTTTCTTATGCAGCTCATCTGATGACGGAACATGTAGGTTGTGGGATGCTAGGAATGCCCAAGTTGCTCCACGGATATATGTTCCAAGGCCCTCAGATTCTGCTGCTGGTTGTTCACTTTCTGATACCAATCATGATCAAGACATTTTTTTTTTTTTGGCCAACAACTGACTAGTTTATTGATGAACCAAAATTATTTTGTTATAATAATGTTTCAGGAAGGAACAGTGGTCCATCCTCAAGTAACAGTCAACAGAGCCATCAAATATTTTGTTGTGCATTTAATGCTAGTGGAACTGTCTTTGTCACTGGTAGCTCAGATACTCTAGCTAGGGTACATCCTATACATATTTCCTTTGAATAGTTCTGTGTACATATCTATCCTGTCAAGCTCTTTTTTTTTTCTTTTTTTCTTTTTTGATCTTATTTATTTGTGTAATTCCTTGTTTAGATTTTACGAGTATTTTTTTGTTGATCATTTCAGGTGTGGAATGCCTGCAGATCCAATTTAGAAGACCCAGAGAAACCCAATCATGAGATAGATGTGTTATCTGGTCATGAAAATGATGTTAATTATGTGCAATTCAGGTTTGTTTGTCATATTCTATTGTTATTTATTCCTAAATATGTTTTCCATTTTTGGTCATAATATTATTGCCTCCAATTATAGTGGTTGTGCTGCGGCATCTAGACTTTCAACAACAGAAATCTCAAAGGAAGAGAATGTTCCAAAATTTAGAAACTCTTGGTGAGTATTGTCTTCTTGGGAAATAGGGAATACTTTCAGAAGAAAGGGTCGGGATAAGAACACTCCCTCCTTTCTTTTAGCTTCCTATTTGTATTTTTACTTTGCATTGTAAAGAAGATAGTCATCCTGGACGATTATATTTTATGTGCTCAAATTTATGTTCTCAGGTTCACTCATGACAACATAGTTACCTGTTCGCGGGATGGCAGCGCAATCATATGGATTCCTAGATCACGTAAATCTCATGTAAGTTTTTGTTAATCTTAACCTTTTACCTTTCTTATTCTCTTAGCTTGCTTATGTTAAGTGTAAGAATTTTCCTTTCTCAGAAGTTTATTATTCCGAACCCCCACCACCCACTTTGTCTTGGCTATAAATTTATCTTTCTACTACTTGGCTCAGGGAAAGGTAGGCCGGTGGACACGTGCTTATCATCTCAAAGTTCCACCTCCACCAATGCCACCTCAACCTCCACAAGGGGGTCCACGTCAAAGAATTCTTCCAACACCTCGCGGTGTCAATATGATAGTCTGGAGTCTAGATAATCGATTTGTCCTTGCTGCTATAATGGGTACTTGTTTTCCATTTTTTAGAATGACTTGCTTAATTTTCTCTTTAAAAACATAAGATGTGGAAGCAATAAATTCCCCTACTTCCCACCATCAAAAAATAAAAAGATTAAAAAAAAAAGAATTAAAAAGAAAAATCCACTGAAACAATTATTTATGATTCCATTTGCTTTAATTAACAAAGACCTATACTTTATGGCAGATGTTGCTCAACTTTTGCCTTTGCATGCATTTCATGTATTGATTTTTATGTCTCTGCTAAGACCTTTATCATTGTGTATATTTTTTTCTTGGCATTTCTACAATGGCAAAGTGACAATCTGATCAAAAGAAATGGTTTTCTAATGCTCACCATTTTGATTAGTAGCATTTGTTTTACTTCTTTGTATTACGAGGTAGTAGTGTTTCTGTGCTTAATCCTAGATGCTGGCTTATTAACATATTTGCCATTGTGCTAGTGCCATTATGCTTTTTAATTAGATTTCGAGGTGCATAAATTTGACCAAGTAATATATTACCATAATGCAGATTGCAGAATATGTGTATGGAATGCTGCTGATGGTAGCTTAGTTCATTCTTTGACCGGTCATACTGAATCTGTAAGTCATTTAGTTTTCTGATTGGTGAATCTTTTCTTGAATCTTGTTATTTTCTGCTTGCATTTAGGAAGACTGGGATTCAGCTATTATATAACCATATGCCTAGGTTGATAAAAAAAATTACCACATGCCTAATTACAGTGGATGCTGATCATTAATCATTGTCATGATTGACAGTTTAGTATTAGATGGAGCTTTGGTTTGGACTGAAATTCTTTGTCATATTTTTGCTTCTCTATTTGGCCGAGAGATTACAATTAGTTCCAAGTCTGTTGCTGCCTTTGTTTATAGTCTAAGTCTATCCAGTAGAGGAATAAATGAGATTAATACATGTCAATACCAATTCTAATTTTTCACTAGTGATTGCATTTCATACATTCAATTCAAGCGAGTCATTGTTTTCAAGATATTTATATTGATTGCCTTTCTCCCAACTCCATCAAATTCATGGATATTATAATTTCAGAATTTACGTTTCCAGTAACCATTAAATTCTGCACCCAAGCAACAAGCCCACTTTGTATCTAATATTTTTTTGAAGTCTCTTGCACCTTTGCCTTTATGGTTTATTTCTTTTATCAGAATCTATTTACTATAGCTTCTGTTTTGCTTTTGTTGCTCTGCAGCCAGTTTTTTGGTTGCTTATGTTACTTTTTCCTGAAGTTGTTTTAAGTTGGATTCTGTTCTCTTGCTTGGTTATTTTTTACCATGTTTGTATTCTTGTAGACATATGTATTGGACGTTCATCCTTTTAACCCTCGGATAGCTATGAGTGCCGGCTATGATGGAAGAACTATAGTTTGGGATGTGAGTTTCCAGGCCCATGTAACCTTCGAAATTTCCTGTTAGTTTTTTCCTTTTATATTGACATTTTGTATCCTTTACTTGTAGATATGGGAAGGCAAACCTATCTGGATATATCCAATTTCACATTTCAAGTTGGTTGATGGGAAGTTTTCACCGTAAGGAACAAAATTGCTTGTGGGACTCTTATTTTTCTGATTCCAATGAAAATAAAAGCAATTGAAAAAGGACAGGAAAAACTCAACCAGTTTATTAAATATTCTTTTAGCTCCATCTACATCATAGTTTCTTTTGCATAATATTCTTCAAAATGCTCCAGTTGTCTGTAGTTTCAGTAGAATCTACTTGCGATTGGGATCTTTATTGCTACATTAAGAATATAGCCTTTGGTTAACACCTTTATGCTTCAAATATGCTCGGAGGTTGCATATCATCATCTTTAGATTTTAAATCAATTTTTTTCTTCTTGCACTATTATATATAAATATAAAACTCTACACTGAAAATGTCACATTAGATATTTTTACAGTATGCCTCTAGGCTTGATATTTTATTTTTGTACTTCGTTTTGAGCTTTTAATGGCTCATATATTTTTCAGCCTTGAGTCCTTTTATTGGAAATTGAAGACTTGTAGATGGTGCTCTTTCTTGTACATATAAATGTCCATCTAGAATTTTGATCAACGTACAATTATTCTTTGGTGTTGTTAAAGCTGCTTTGGTTGTTACCAAATACATTTCTTGTTGTCTAGGGATGGCACATCCATTATACTTTCAGATGATGTTGGCCAATTGTATGTGTTAAACACTGGCCAAGGGGAGGCCCAACAGGATGCAAAATATGATCAGGTGCTCATATATAGAATGGTAGTTTGAAAAAAAAGAAAGAAAGAAAAAACCCCAATACCAGTAATAACTTGTTATGCATTTATCAGCCTTTAATCATGCTCAAACAAGGTTAAATAGCTCTTTAATTTTACTAACCATGTTTGCATCTTGTTAACAGTTCTTTCTTGGTGATTATCGCCCGCTTATGCAAGATACTCATGGAAATGTAGTTGACCAGGTTGGTTAATCTATTTTTTTTTTTTTTAACTGTATCACTGTTAGCTTTTTTTGTATTATCTACTTTAATAACATTTAGATTTGTACAGGGCAGTTAAAGTATGTGCGGTGAAAGCTTTGTGGTTAATACCATCTTTTTAGAAATAAATTAATATTACTAGTTTTGTGTTTAATTTATTAAAGGAAAAAGGAATGAAAGAAAAGAAAAGAAATGAATTATATAGCAGTTAAAATGGATATTTTACATTTCCACTTCATTTGCTCTATAACATAACTTTCAATCCAGGAAACTCAGCTTGCTCCATATAGAAGGAATATTCAAGACCTCCTCTGTGACTCAGGTTAGTTCCTAGTCTGTGCTGCCCCAAATGATTGAGGCCTTCTATTCCTCTTCTGTTGTTCGTCCAATGATTTTATTCTCAGTGGTGATGGGTATGATGGAACATTTCAGGCATGATACCATATGAAGAACCCTATCAGACTATGTACCAGAAAAGACGGTTAGGTGCTCTGGGTCTTGAGTGGCATCCTTCATCTTCAAAACTTGCTGTTGGTCCAGACATCACTCTAGACCAGGAATATCAAATGTTACCATTGGCAGACTTGGATGGAATGGTTGATCCCCTTCCAGAATTTATGGATGTTATGGATTGGGAACCCGAAATTGAAGTGCTAAGTGACGATAATGATTCAGAGTATAATGTCACTGAAGAGTTCTCTGCAGGAGTGGATCAAGGAATTATAAGTTCTTCCTCTGGTGAGTCAGAGTGCAGTGCAGAAGACAGTGAGATGGAGGACAATGATAATGATGTCCGTCGCAGATCAAAAAGGAAAAAACTAAAGAGTGAAGTAAGGTTTTTCTTTTCTATTTCTTTCTCTGTTTCCACAATTTTCTGTCTCAATATTTATGGCATGTCTCACTTGACTTGATGTTCCCTCTTCAGGTTGAGATCATGACATCTTCTGGGAGGCGTGTTAAAAGGAGGAATTTGGATGAATGTGATGGCAATTCATCCAGAAATAAGCACAATAAGAAATCTAGAAACAGCCGAAAAGCTTCCCACAAAAAGTCTTCATCAAAGTCATTGAGACCTCAAAGAGCAGCTGCACGCAATGCTCTGACATTGTTTTCCAAAATTACTGGAACATCTTCTGATGGAGAAGATGAAGATGGCTCCATTAGTGGGTCATCTGAAAGTGAATCCATGATCCATGATTCAAACATTGAGAGTGATGAATCTGGTAGGTCTCTGCAAAATGAAGCAAAGAAGCATTCAAAAGGAAAAGAAGTTTCTCTAGATGTATCTGAGGATGTAATTAAAATACATGAAACCCCTGAATCTCATAATGCCAGAAAGAGGTTGGTTCTGAAATTGCCAGCTCGACATTCCAATAAATCTGTGACCCTAGAGAGCAGGATACTTAGGAAAGTTGAGAAGCTGGATAATTTAGCAAGCGCAGGTTCTCAGGATGAAACTGAAGGAAGTATAAGGCATACCCGCTCTTTTGATCCAGGTTGTTCTTCTCAAGAAATGAATTCCAGCATAATCAGTAGAGGAGCTAGAGGGTTGTCAGATAAGATTGCAGATCACTTGCATCTGCTGGAAGGATTTGTAGATGGGACTGTCAAATGGGGAGGAGCCAAGGCTCGTTCTTCTAAACGTCTTAGGTTGGGAGATGCCATGTCATCAGATGCACACACTGGTTCTAGGGAACGTCTTAATGATCCCAAAGAGATTAAAAATAATGATGGTTACATAAAAAGTGAAAAGGCTGCTGATATTGTATCAGAAGTTTCAAATGGCTTTGCTAATGTTGAAATGCAGTCAATTTTCAGTGAATGCAAGGATCATCAAGAATCCCTCAAATGGGCTAACATATCTTCTGAGGATACAACTGCAGCAGCTACACACTATCACAATGGCATTGATCAGCCTCCTGAGCTAAAAGAATGCAATACTCCTGTTTCAATGAAGTTGAGGATAACATCTAAATGCATTTCAACAAATTCTGAAATTTCTGAGGTGAAAATACGATGTTCCCAAGAGAATCATGTTAATGATGAGTGTGATTCATTGCACCATTTTTCCTCTGAGTTGAAAGAAAATCCCATCTCAGAAGTACCTAAGTTTGATGAAACCAGTGGGTTTGGTTCAGATCATGGAAGTCATAGATTGCATGAACCAGGTGCTCAAGTTGATCGGGCTCCAGCATCCACATTGAATGACGCAGGGCAGTCACATATGCAATCAAAAAAGATGTATGATGTTGTTTATACAAGATCAAAGTTACATAGGGATAAGACTAATTCAGAACATGAAGGTGGCATGGAAGGAAGTCCCCAAAACAATTGCAATCTGGGTATGACCACAGTAGCAGAGGTCCATGAAGGCACACCTGATGGGGCTCGTAGGACACGGTCCAGTAAGTTTAAGTCAGCAAATGTACTTAAGTCAGAAGAGACATATGGAAGTGCCCCCAGTAGCTCCTTTGGTGGAAGACAACTTCCAAGCAAGGAATCAGAATCAAGTTCGATGATGACAGTTGGATTGAGGTCTATCAGAAATAGAAGAAGTAACTACTCTTCCTGTGATGTTAGTCCAATAAAGAAGTCACATCGATCAGATAGAAAAGGATCATGGTTGATGTTGACAGTACATGAGGAGGGCTTTCACTATATTCCACAACAAGGAGATGAAATTGTGTATTTAAGACAGGTTAGTAGTCGTTTAAGATGATCACTCTTTCATCTCGGCCTTTTGGCATTTAGTGCTTATTTTAGGTTAGTATTTGCGATGATATTAGTGATTCACCTGGGAAGCTTCTCTTTTTCAGGGGCATGAAGAGTATCTGACTCATAATCGCCCGAGGCTGAGAGAACAGGGCCCTTGGACCACACTGGAAGGAAAAAAAGTAAGGGCAGTGGAACTTTGTAAAGTTGAAGACCTTCAATATTCTACATTTCCCGGGTCTGGGGAGAGCTGCTGCAAATTGACACTTAGATTTACAAATCCTACTTCCAATGTTTTTGATGAATCATTTAAATTAACTCTGTCTGAAGTGACTAGTCTCCCTGACTTTCTTGTGGAAAGAACTCGCTTTGATGCTGCTATCACTCGAAATTGGAGCTGCCGGGATAAATGTAAAGTCTGGTGGTGGAAAAATGAGGATGGCAATGATGGCAACTGGTGGGATGGCCGGGTTGTTTCTGTGAAGCCTAAATGTTCTGAATTTCCTGATAGTCCATGGGAAAGGTACGCCATTCAGTACAGGGATAACCCCAGGGAAACACATAATCACAGTCCTTGGGAGCTCTTTGATGCAGATACCCAATTGGAGCAACGTCAAATTGATAGTAACAGTAGAGATCAGCTACTCTCTGAGTTTGTCAAATTAGAACAATCAGGGCGCAAAGTTCAGGTATGGGGTGAAATGACATCTTCTACCACTTTCATTTGGCGATTGAAATTTGGTGAACTTTTTTGGAGGTTTAGCCAGAAATTCTTCTTAATTTTGTTTGTTAAAAATTTCAGGATAAATATGGAGTTAATAAATTGAATCAAATCTCCGAGAAATCCACTTTTACAAACAGGTATATCTTTCTTAGCAGACATCTTTACACGGTTATATACATGATTTGATCTTTTACTTTCCTATATCAGGGGTATAATAATTATGTGTACTCTGCAACAACTAACTCTTTAAAGCTTCTAGATTGAAATTTGAAAATATGCATAATGTTTGTAGTTATGGAATTTTCACAGGGTCCCAGTGCCACTGTCTCCTGAAATTATAAAGTCTAGGTTAGAGAACAACTACTATAGAAGTTTGGAAGCATTCAAGCATGATTTTCAGGTCATGCTCAAAAATGCAGAAGATTTTCAGGTCATTCAATCAGTGAAGGTAAAAAGCCTATCAGAGTGGTTGAGAAGGACACTATCATCTTTGGAGTCCCCATAGAGATTGAAAGAGAAAATAATTGGAGAGCTAATCTATCCAGATTTCTCTCAAATGTCTATTGTAGATAAATTTTTACTTCCAAATTTTTTATTGCCTTGGATCCAGTTTTGGGATATGATTAATCTTGGGATTCTTTCTAGGTTGGAAGGATAAATCAACTAATTGGTAGGTGGTTAATTTTCCACCGGCAAGTTTATTCTTGTATAGAAAAACGATTATCATCATTTATGCTGACAGAGAAAATTTGGTCTTGGCAATTTGAATCCTGTCGAGTTACCATGAGCTTTTTGGTTAATGTACTAGGGGATTTGTTTTTCGGCAAAGCCTGGAACACCTCTTACTCGTTCTGTTTTATAATAATAAATGTTTTTTAATTTTATTTTTATATTAAAATTTTAAGTATATAACTTATGTTTTTACTTATATTATCTAAAAAAAATAAAAATAAAGAGAATTTTTTTATAATATTATGAATAGTTAAAATAAAAATAATAATAAAGATATAATAAAAAAATATTTATTTATCATAAAATATATTAAAAAAAAATGACTTAATTTAAAAATGGTTTGTCAAGCCAAATGTTGGGCCTCCGCACTAGCTGAATGCTATGGCTGTACTAGTTTAGCTGTTTGTAGAGGCGAGCTATATGGATTTGAGCCGTTTATCAGGATTGGGCCTAATATTTTGATCAGCTGTGCATAAACCCATTCACGCGAGTTGATTACAATATTTCGGTCGGGAACCGGACTGGCAAAATCCGTCAAAATTTTTGACAGTTGAAATTGGGAATAACACACACACCCTTAAATTTTTTTGCGACCCAAATTAAACATTATTATGATACAATGAATAATTTAAAAAAAAAAAAAAAAATTAACCAACCATTTTTAATCCATTTTATCATTTTATCTCGTTTGTTTCTACCTTTCATTTGGTTATAAGTGGGGAAAGTTCAATCTTCAATCAGTTCAACGCCCTTCTAGAAAAGAAAAAATACCAAAAAAAAAGGCCACTGCGGGGAAGTTGTTTACACAAAAAATTACAACAGAATTCTGACAAATCACAAGTTTTTATGCCTGAACGATGGTGGCAACCCACATTAAAAATTAACATGGAAGTGTTAAACGTTGAAGCTGCGGATCTGCATTTTCAGACAAATTGCTGCAAAAATCCTAAGTTCAGGAATATAGACCTTTTGTTACACCAATGCTGGTTATGCGCAATCTAACGTCAATCTCTCCAACGATATCCACAGTTTGGGTTACAACAGACAAAGAACAGCGTCATACCTTCCTCTCCTCTAGCGGTTGCCTGTAGATACATACAAAATATTTAGCATTAGTAGATCTGCCACAATCATTACACACCACCTGGATTACAAATTGACATGAAACATGAGGAAATGTAAAACAAAAGAGGATCAAGCTAAAGTCATTAGAGCGGGAAAAGGGGAAAATGGAGGAATAATAGCACTACTCATGCTTTGGCTGCCATCGTTCCAGTTGGGATAGGCCCAACTGAAACAATTTCCTCCAACCTTTCAAGAGAAGTTAACAATCTAATAGATTAGCATGTCCTGGAAAAGGTATCCAAATGCAAGAATATAACCCTTACTCCTATTTCTACCATGATTTCATCACAAGAATCATTGTAGAATGGGAGAAGAAAAGATAACAGACAACCAGATATCATGAGGTACATATCAATATAAGCTTCTTTGAGGATGGCCAAGAAAGAGGGAAAAGGTTTAGGAGGCTTGACCTGGAAGAAGACAGCTTCTCCATGACCACATTTTGCACAATGAACAGATTTAGTTCGAGGAAGAGTTGGATCTGCAGCCACATCCTGCAATACTTGAGTGCGCTCTCCAACAGAGTGGTGTACCTCATTTCTATAGACACAATTGTTATCAGCTGCCTCCTGCATGGTGTTGGAAGAATAAGTACATAAAACACACAGGAAAACCTCCTCTTGTAATTTCTAAACCCTATAGTTGGATAATATCAATAGAAACATGATTTAATTTCTATGATGGTAGTCAATTAACTGTACTTCCAAAATTTTCACAATTAACTATGGAAAAATATATGAGATAGAAAAATCCATCACTTATTGCATTCCACAACCATACTTATATAAATAAAACAGGAATCAGGTATTCAGAAGGTTAAGCAACAAAAAGGATAAAACAAAAATCAAGTTAAATGACAACGAGAAGTCATCCCATTTGAAAGGTCACTAACTGATTTTGGCCATGAGAACATTACAAATAGACAATGAAAAGTAAACAGATTCCCTTTTTTATCAGTAAATAAATTAGTGCTTAGCTGTAAGGATTTGAGTCCCTGACCTAGACCCCAGAATAAAAGTTTTAAACTTGTAGATATCATCTTTGCTAAGCTTGCATTGGTAAGTACACAAATTACTCGATGATGACCCGATCAATAGATGGACAGCCTGTTTTAATTCCTAATATTTTCATTCACAGCTGAGAAGGTTTTAAACTGATACAGGACTGAAGTCCATCAGTCATGTTTGGTTGATGGAGTGGCTAGTCCTAGCTTTCACTAATTTACTTCTAACGAGTCTGAGTTAAAGAGGAAATAGCTAACACTTAGGGGGAGTTGTTATTAGCTATTACCAAATGATTTCATCTTAGCAGAAGTACATTGTAACAAATAGTCTTATTTATATGGTTTCACCAAAGAAAAGTCATTCCTTCAACGGAACAAGTCCAAAAGTTTTCTCTCAATTCACCAAGCCTAATTAATCTAAACAGTGAAAAGAAAGATGCAAAAGTTGTTCTATGAACTAATCAGCATATGCTACTCCATTTTAGTGTTCAATAAATACAAAAACTCATTGCTAAAACCTTAGAAATATACACTCAATAAGATTAAACCTAAACACACACCAATATTTCTCAACCGAAAAGCAAGAAACAAACACGCAAAAGCGAATTAGGGTTTTGCTAATAGTTGAACACTGAATTAACCAACCACTAAACCTAAAATAAAATCACCGAAAAACCCAAAAAACCCTAATCTACTTCAGTACATTAGAAAGGGAAGAGACCGACCTGGTGATCGCAATTCCGGCAAGCGTAGAGAAGGATCTTCTGGTCCCTGTCTTCCTTTGGATACAGAATGTTGTTGCTTCATTAACAGAAAAAACCACGAAAGATTCAGCACAAAAGAAGATAAAAAAAAAAAATGGGACAAAACTTCTGAAAAAAATCGAGAAACCCAGGAAAAGCGAATGCAAAAAGATCAAAACTTGAGGAAGATGACGAACCATTCACGGCAAAATTTCATAGTACTCATCTTGGCTTAGGTCGAGAGAGTACTTGTAGGATTCCTGGGTTTGGCCTTTGGCGGGCACAGGAATACGGGATTCTGCTTTTCCCTCCGCTTACAGAGCTTTCTAGTAGCTGGTTTATAAACGGGTAGAGTCGTAATATTGTTCAATAAATTTCACCTCCATTTATGGGCTATTTCTTTTTCTTTTGAATTTTCTTGAGCTTTTGTAGTTTGTGGTAATTTTGTTTTGCATCTTATTCTTTTATTTTTATTTTTTTTTCTTGTGTCTTAATTAAATTTGTTGAGTTGTTCTCTCACTTAACTTTTTTTAGTCTTTGAGAAATTAGTAGTCGAAATTAGATGATATAATAATATTAAAGAATTATCAATATATATAACTAATTTATTAAAAATATTTAAATAATTTTATAAATATTCTTAATTTTTTTTTTAAATCAACCGAAAAACACTTCAGATATTTGTTGCTAAACAACACTCCACACTCCTATTAGATTATTTGACAAAGAAGCCCGAGGTTTGAGAAGCAGGAAAAGATGATATTTGAAAGATTAGTACCAGAAATTATTCTTTATTATATATTGTCCACAATTAGATGTGCCGAAAGACAATAAAATGAAAATGAAGGTTATTAAGAGTAGGTGGAATGAGTAAATGAACTTTTATAGTTGTATGATATTGTATGTATACTGGTGCAGACAGAAGGTAGCAAAGTTATGATTCATCAAACTAAACTGAGGAAGTGCAGGTCATGGGAAAGGAAAAAGAAGGTTCACTATTCAGGCCAAAACTTATAGACACTCATTTGAGAAGATGCTCCTACTGCTGTTCTGTATCTCCCTCCTAAGGCGAATCTATTGTCCTTTTCAGCTGCTATTTCACCTTCTATTTAGGTACATAGTCTCCTAGCGTCCTTACTCACAGAAAAAAAGAGAAGGGACCCATCAAGGGAAATATCCAGACAGTACTTTTATTGTTAAAATAATTGGCATTTTCATTTCTACTTTGGTAGGAAAGGGTTAGATGCTTAGTGAGGAGCTCTTCTGCCATGTTCTTCAGAGAGATAGATGATTCTCCAAATGCTAAGTAGATGAATGAAGCCAGAACACATGATTTCACAAACTAACTTGATTTACTTGCATAAAGCAAGCTAAACAAAATAAAATTGGTCTAAGTTGAGCTAATATTAAAATACAACAGGTAACACTCTCGAGTAATCGAATTCAACATCCCAAAGAAAGAAAATGAAGAAAACTTCTAGAAAGCTTATTCCCAGAAAGCTTGATCTCCAACATGCCTAACACCACAAGCTCCACGGTGACAGCTTAATTAACTTGATAAAGAAAGCATAGAGATTTAGGCGTCTAGCAATTCCTTGGTTTAGAACATACGGACCCAATACATTACAGGACCACTAAGCTTCATCTTTCCTTCAGCGCCTTTTGCTATGCTTCCTGCTCTTCCTCCGGCTTCGTCTATCATCAGAATCAGAATCTGAGTCTGAATCAGAAGACTCAGAAGACGAGCTGTACCTTCTGCTCCTTCCCTTCTTCTGCTTCTTCTTCCTCCTCCTCTGCCTCCTCTCTTCCTCAGAATCAGATGAACTATAATCTGTACCACTCTCTGAAGAAGAATCTGATTCTGTGACAGATGATGAGCCACTGGTCTCAAAAACTGAAGCCTCGCTATCACTACCAGAATCAGTATCTGACCGATGCTTTCTTTTACTCTTCTTAGATTGCTTCTCATTCTTCTCATCATTCTCATCCTTTACATCAGGGTAATCCTCATAAGAGATCGACGGTTTCATCCTCAATTTTGGGTTCTTAAGCTGCTGGGTCCGTGAGGGTCGTGACATGTACACACGTTCATTTTTGCATTCATATGTCCAGTGCCCTGATTGGAAACATTTCTGGCACTGTGAAGCTGTGCCACCAATGGTAGACATTGAAGGCTTAAGGTCCTTTCTTTCACCTAATCTCACGGCCTTTTCAGTGCTCATCAAATACATTTGCCTCTTTGCTTCCCTTTTCTCCTGCCATCTGCTAGGCCCTTCTTCCTTCTGCCCATAAGCATTGACATTTCGAGCTGCAGCAGCCGCTGCCCGTTCAGCCTGAGCACGACTGAGACCTTTCGCAGCACTCAGTGCTGCAGCCTTAATTCTTTCAGCTGCAGCTTGACCTTTCTCCTCCTTCTTACTCGACATGTTTTAAACTCTCTTAAGAAGATTTCAACCTCCCGAATAAATTCAATTCAACCCAAATATCAGATACCCTGCATCCACCATTATAAGCTTTAGTTATTGACACTTGGCAACTTCACTGTATGAAAAAATAAATGTAAAAAACTAGCTCAACTGCCGAAGTAAATAAACCTAACAAAGTTGTCACTACTAGTATACCCTCCTTTTTTTCTTCCTTCTATTAACAAAATAAGTGCACTTGGCACAGAAAAAAACAAAAATCCTCAACAAAATGAAATAAGAAAACTCAATCAGAAAGAAACATAAAATTACCATGAAAAATCTACCATATTAAACAATCATATTATCTATTTGATCATGATTGTAGATAGTTCTGTAGTACTAGAACGATATCTTCAATTAAAATTTTATGGGTAAAAATTGCTTTCGTAGCATATCAACATTTTCTGCCATCAGGAGACAAAAAACTAGGCAAAAGAAAATATTAGAGAATGAGTAAAGCAGGCCAAATGCCAATATTTCGATCCCGCAAGTTTTCAAAACTGAAGAACTTTTATTAAGGAACCAAAAACGAAAGTAGAACACAATTATACAAACCCTTTTTCAATTACCAGCCTAAAATTCCTAAAGAAACCAAAATAGCAAGAAGTTGATATCTTCAAATTCGCACCCACACCCTTCCAATTTTCAGAAACGGAACAACACAAGAACCCTAGATATGAAACTTGGACGCAATATCAAATTTGATTATCTTTCTATTGTTAAACCCTAAAACGCAACAAAAATCGAAGATCCCATCCACCCAGAATGAGCAAAACCCAAAAAACACTAGAAGAAACAAACGACATGAATGAATCAAAGAAAGAATTGAGAGTGAAAATCAAACCTTGAAGATCGAGGAAATCTGCTGCTGTTGGTTTGGAGGTTGATATGAAAAAAGATAGAAGATTTAAAACAACAATGAGACTGTGGAGCCTTACATTTATCATTGCTAAAAATTATACGCGTTTAGGAGATTTGACTTGACGGCCAAAGGCGGTAAGTATTTTTTCTTTTTTTCTTTTTTTTTGGTTTATATTTACTCGGTACTTTCTGCGTTTTGACCCTTTTTTCTTTTACACAACTAGTAGTAGGAATTAAAAATTAAAAATTAAAAATTAAAAATTAATATTTTAATTTTTTGACAAAATTCAATCACTTATCAGAGTGTATTTCATCGGTAATCCTTTTGAATTGCAGTGACACCACTTGGGCACAACAGGTGAATCCGAGCTGCATTTTTATTTCTCTTTTGGTGCTTTTATTGTCCTGTATTTGTCATGAGATAACTTTTTTAACATTTAATTTTAATGTTAGATAGTCTTTTTTTTACGGTAATATAATAATCTATTTAATAAAGATAATTTATTTTTTTCAGCCTCTTTTCATTTATATTAAAACTTAAATTTAAAATTTTTAATTTGATGTATTAAATTCTTTATTATTTGAAATACTCTTAAACCAATGTTATTATCAAAAATAACTATTTTAATACAACCAGTGAAAAAAAAGTGCTATAATTGGTAGCGCTAATCTCATGAATTAGCTCGGAGAAGCTAGGAACGGTAGCAACATCTTCAACATGCATTGAATGATATATTTATGGTGTTTTGTTAATTTTTAATATTTAGACTGCACTTTTTTGTATTGAGAAACACCAATCTCTAATCTATATAACTTGGAAATATCCCTACCGTCAAAATAAAAAAATTAAGCATGGCTCTCGTTGGAGACAATGGTTCATCTTTCCATACAGTTTCATTTTTAATTTTTTTTTATTTGTATTTGTAATTAACAAAAAAAGGTTTGATCTAAAATAGGAAGAGAACTGACCAAAAGAGATAGATAAAAGAAATTGTAGGACATTTATAGCAATTACCAATAATCACAAGGTGGAATAAGTAATTCAAGTACTTCTGTTGTTATCTCTCGATTTATCATAGAAGTCATTAGAAAAGAAAACTATAAAACATATTTTTCTCAATGAGAGATTCCAAACCCTTTATCCTTGCATTCAAAAGGAAATTAAAAATCCTTGAAAAAAAAACACCAAGATACCAAAAATTGGTCTCTCTGGCCAAAAGGGAAACTAATAATGAGGCAGCACAACCCTACCAGTGGTTCTAACTTTAGAATATCCCAGCAAGAAGATTTGCAGCTGTAGAAATGGCAGCTCCAGTGATGGCACATTGCATCACTTGCTCATGGGTGGTGTCCTCTGATGTCAATGCCAATGCCATCCCTGTAATTGCCCCCGCAACTGCACTGTTTTTCTGCATAAAAGCTCACCAATGCTATTACCAAACCCAGGACAATAGAACGGCACTGATGTTTTGCTTGATCCATAGGGAAAATGCAAAGTGTAAAGAGAGATGGTTACTTGATCCCCTAACTACTCATTTGTTGCATAGTTCTATTGTCTAGTTTAACCATTAACTTTTTCTTCCTCTTCCTATCCAACCCAGCATTGGTCAAATGGAGAGGACTAAGGTCACAAAAGAGGACTGTTTATGTCAACTTTTTGCAATGAAACTCTTTGTTCACTTCCTTCCGTTGAGTCTCCTTGATTATTTGATAGTTGCTATCTAAAAACAACAACAACAACAACAACAACAACAGAAAGGGGACATTTAACTCACCCAATCATGAGCTCCACGAGCCTCCTTTAGGCCGTACGTTAGACCTGAATATATACCTGCAGCCAAGCCTGCAGTTTATAAAACAACTTATTAGCTCTCTATCATCACATGACATGAACCAAGATAAAAATTCAAGACAAGACTATGATTTCTCTATCATTTACTGCAAATCAGCCATTTAAACTTAACCTTACCCTCTTAAGTCAAGAAATCTAGGACCGCTAATAAAAATTATGACATCAAAGCTCTAAACTTACCCCATTGTAGGGATTCCTTTCCAGTGCTCTTCACCTATAAAACATTGTAAAAAACTTCATTGGTACAAAACAACTCCTCAAGAGAACAAGAATAATCCATGACAGAATTATATAACAATCTTGAAAACTGAACCCTTTAACAGATTACCCTATGGCAAAGCAGCCATTTCTCTCCAAGTAGATTACATACTTAGAATCAGAACACTCTAAACAAGCATAAGCATCAAAAATGCCTTGTAGCTACTTGACTTGGAAACTCATGCTGAAGTTTAGAACAAAGAACTCACCAATGCTTCAAGAGTTTTTTTGTTGGTTTCTCCTGCAAACCACAAAACAACAAAATCAAAGTTCATGCAGCAGCATACCACTAAGTTACACTAACAAGGATATAATCTAAAATGCAAAGAGATTTTTCTCTTCTGCCATTTAAGTAAGTAATTAAATGACATTAGACAAACATCCAAGTCCCAATCTCCATGGCAAAGGCTAACGGGATCCCTAAGGGCCCCTCATACTCAATTTCAAACTACCAAAACAGTGTGAAAGTTTAAATTTTGTGTTTAAAATCTGATCATATATCTACTTAGAAGACCCAAAAGAAGTTTAATTCAAGTGAAATAAGCTTTTTGTATCTACAACACAAAACGAACGAAGAGGCAAACAAGTGGCTCTTCCAAGAGAAGAGAAGACAACGCTAGTCTCAGTGACATCGGAAAACCCAATTTCACCAAGAAGGAAACTCTGACAGTATCAATGCACACCTTTGATGTGATCAGGAAAACGATGTTTCTTGGCACCCCCGGGGGTGATTTCAGAGGGATCACTTGAATCAGCCCGCGCACCTAACAATAAACCCACATGCCATTAATAAGCAAACAAATTAACGAGAATGGGGAACCACTGAACGACTACATACTTTCAACGGCTGTAAAATAAGCCTCCCTAGACACAGCCTGAATCGCTCCAATCTGCAAAACCCACCACCAAAATCATTTTTTGAACAAATAAGAATAGAAACCCAAGTCCAAAAAAGGAGAGAGGATTACGCCGGCGGCTTTAACAAAGCTCTCGGCAATGCGGTTGAGGAGGGGGTGACCGAGGTCAAAGAAACCACCCTTGTCGAAGCTACGGAAATCATCAAGCAATGACCTTGTCTCCAAGTTGCCGCCACCCATCATGTCGTTTGTGATCCTTTCTTGGATTTTGGTGTTTCACTTCAAAATTTCTTTGGAGAGATAGCAGAGCAGAGTTGAGTGGGAAGGAAGAAGATGGAAGTTTAAATGTGGGGGAGTTAACGAGAAAAGATCGGAGGAGAAAGTCAGAGTGGACGGACACGTGTCCACGACGGCCTTACGTGGATCGTTCTCGTAACGA